TGGATCGCGGACTCATGGTATGTTTTTAGAGGCGGGAAATTTTACGGTAATTGGGGGTGGAGAGCGGATTTACGAAAATACCCATGCTCTTTTTAAAAATCTAAAAAATGGTCTAGAATAAAATAGTAATGATAATTTCTTCTTTTTTTTTGTGAAGATTGTTGATTTAAATAATAAATAAATAAAAAATCATTCTCTTATTTTAGATCGAAATTTTAGGAGCTAAATAGAGAGGAAACCCTCTTGATTGAAAGTTAACCTCCTCACAATTTGGTCCAAACAACCTCTGAACTCTTGTTCAATGTAATCCCCCACTTTTTATTTTTTCACTCTTGTTCAAATCCAATGTAATCCCCCACTTTTTATTTTTTCAATTCTAGCCCCTCAATTTATCAATTCAAAGTAATTAACTACGGAGACGATCATGAGAATCTTTTTGGAAGCCTGTTTATCTTTGCTTTGATTCATACTTTAAAAAAAATTATTTAAAAAATTATATTGATTTAAAAAAAAATAAAAAAAAATTATAAATATATTTTAAAAAATAATTACTTTCAAAACACCAAACACTATATTAAACCATTAGAATAACAATTACAACAATTTATTTTTAACATTGCCTGACAATTACATTGAACTATAATGCAAAGAACTAAAATAAAATCAGGATAATAAAAGATTAGAGGTTAGCTTTTTTAGTATTTTTTTATAGTTTTGATATGTTAATATTAAAAATAAATTTTAAAAAATAAAAATATATACTATTTTCATATATTTCTATAAAAAAAATTAAAAAAATAATAAATCAAATACTGTTGATGGGAGGAACTGTTACTAAAATCAGGGCTTTCTCCCACCCCCAGATAATTTAATACATGAGGCTATGGCCTTTCAGCATGGACTCTTTTCTTGAGAGAAGTATGTTTTTCAAAAATGTTCGTTGACGTGAGTTTTTATAGTTATTTTTTAAAATATTTTTTATTTAAAAAGATATATTAATAATTTTTTTAATTTTAAAAAAATATTTTTAAAATTAATATATTATAATGATTTAAAAAAATTAAAAATATATTAATTTAAAATAAAATCAAATTAAAATTTTTAAAAATATATTTTTCAAACTTAGTGTTAAACATTGTTAAAAAATAAAGATATGCATTGAGGTTTTCTTTTTCATTTATTATTTTACTATTTTATGTTTTATTTAAGTATTATTTGGTATTATAGTAATGATTATTTTTTAAAATATTTTTTACTTGAAAATATATTAAATTTATTTTTTTAATTTTTTAAATAATATTATTTTTTATATCTATCCACAAAAATACATTAAATTAAAAACAAACAAAAAAAATCATTTTATTTCAAAACCGCGTAAACACACACTACCTTAGCTAGCCGACAACATCAATAAGTATGCGCTGAGCTACATATAAGATAAGGGGGCAATTTCCCCCCTTAATTTTTATAAAAATATCATTTCAGTCCAACAGTTCAATGATTTTCAATTCACACCCCTCTTTTCTAGACATTTGCTCCCCGTTTTTATTTTTAATCTTTCCCGTTACTCCATGGAATATCTACTAAAGAGTGATTTGTTTAGAATAATTGTATATGATTATCCTTTGAATGGACTATTTTATTTTTTACATTTTAACTTATTTTGATATGATAATTATGTGAAAATAACAAAGTATCAATATTTGAGTGATAGGAACTGTTTAAGGATTAAAAAAAACTTCTTTTTATAATGAAAACAATCTTACTAGTTTTTTAATAAAAAAAATCAGTTGAAAATCATTATTTGAGCATAAATTAAAAATAGACATCCTCACATAAAATTTAAACAACATCCAAGCATAAATCAATAATTTAGTTCATGAAAACATCCTAACAATAAAAATCAAAACTTCCACACATAAAAGACAAAGCATCCTCCCATGTAATTAAAACATTCATATAAAAAGATTTTATTTTTTATCTAATTTTATTTTTTAGTATTTAATGAGCTTTAAATACATTGTTTGTCTTCTTTTAAAAAAATATTTTTTTCTTAAATTATCATGATTTTTTTATTTGATCCATTTTTTATTGTTGTTTATTTTTTATTAAAATACAACCAACTTATTTAACTTAGTTGGATTTATGACTCAGATTATATATTTTTTTTTATATTTTAAAACAAATCTACTGTCAATGATCCCAATTAGTTTGAATCAATTATTTGATTCTGCAATATTATAGGCTCATAAAAACATTTCTAAATAGTTTTTCAGTCTATATATAACACACACACGTGTCTACTGTTATACAAAACATAATGAATAAGAGAATATTATCATCACCGAATCTGATATGGTTTCAGAGCAGTCGATATTGACCGTCTCTTACCCTAATTTTATAAATCATTTTTGCAACAACAATCATAAGCTCCCTTCGTAGTAGCAATGATTTCACAGTAGCAGCCATTAGCCATCCTTCATAACCACTGCTTACTGTTCCCTGAACCAAATTACTCTGTTTGTTCTTTCTACTTCTTCTTTCATCACTTTATAAGCCAAAATCATGGCAGAAGATGATGGTTCAGCAAACACCAATAATTTTTTAATTTCATGAGACTCCAACACTACCACACAAATAGTCACATTGCAGAGTGACAACTCTTATTTCTCTGCAAGAATCAAGTTGGATGAGAATAATTATTTTCTATAGCATCAAATCATGGAGATGAAGATAGCTGAGCGAGAAAAACATGGGCATTTGACCGGTGATATCGCCCAACCTACAGTCCTAAATCCCATATTTATTAAATGGCGTGCAACAAATTGCCAAGTAAATAGTTGGTTGTTTGATGCCATGCAACCTAATCAGATTAAAAAGGTTTATTCATGATGACACAATAAAACAAGTTTGGGATGCAATAAAACAAACTTATTTAGATGGGGCTGATGAAGTTGAGATTTACGACCGTCATAGTAAGTCATTCATAATAAAACGAACAGGTGTTTTAGCTGTCAAATATTACAGTAAGCTCACTCAGATTTTTCAAGAGCTTGCACTAAGATTTTTCAAGAGCTTAATCAATTAAGTTCAAGTACCATAAAAGCATCCTTCAGATATTGAAACTAGACAAAAAGAAGTTAATAGTCTCAGAGTTTATATATTTCTTGCAAGTTTGGACAATAATGTTGATCAAGTTTGAGGAGATTTTGATGATGAAGCCAAAGCCAAAACTTGAGGCTGCATATGCACATATTAAAAGAGAGAGTAACCGACAGGGAACCATGTCTGAAGCTGTGTAACCTCCGAATCCACAACTCTTGCTGATGCCAGGTCTAGACAATCTCGGCTGCATAACTACAATATCGATCTTGCTTGTAACAGACCTCCAATGAAATGTATCAGATGTGGTTTAGATAATCACAGAATTAAAGGTTGTTAAGAGATCATTGGTTATCTAGAAGGATAGGTTCATAAAGGGCATAAGAGGGACTCAAACCGAGCCTCATTTTGCATCTGTTTAGTCATTATAAGAGATTTCATCGAAAATCCCATCAGGTACAACTGACTTCAAGGCCTTTGCCACCTCAGGTAACTGTACCACATCCTCATTTACTGGTAATAAATCCTGGATTATTGACACTGGTGCAACGGATCACATGACATCTAGTTTTATTGGGGTACAGTCTGTCACACTTTCCAGCCAAATACATATTCTTAGTGTTAATGACACCACCTCCCGAGTTATAGGAGAAGGGTCCTTATCTCTTTATATCCTCATGAAATCTTTATCATGTCTTAGTTGTCCCTTCACCTAACTATGACTTGTTATTTGTTCCTCAGATCATTGATTCCCTTAATTGTACCATGTGTTTTTTTGTCATTATATCGTCTATTTCAGGATCTTCACACCAGGGTCGTGATTGGATGTGGTACTAGAAGAGGAAAACTATATTATCTGGACTTCACAAACAACACCGCTAAGAGATTGAGTTTTGCACATCATGTGAAAGAAGGTGAGTCTATCAAGATGAAGAAAATTTGATCATGGCATAGACGATTAGTTCATGCCTCATTTGGTTATCTGAAACTTTTATTTTCAGAGTTGTTTTCTTAGTTTACTGAAACAGATTTTTATTGCGAAACTTGTATTTTAGTGAAAAGTTATCGTATTTTTTATTTATTGAGGTTGAATAAAAATTTTATGTTTTTCAGGATTGTCCATCTCTGATATTTGGAGACCATCACATGTTTCCATAATTAGTGGTTATATGTGATTTGTGATGTTTATTGATGATTGCACTTGGATATTTGGGCTTTTCCTTTAAAACAAAAAAGAGAAATAATCATCAAATTCAAATTATTTATCAATATGTTGCTACTCAATTTGACAAAAAAATCATGACGCTTCATGATTTGCATAATTTTTTAAATCAATATAGTATTATTCATCACACCACACATGCATATACACTATAATAGAATGGAGTCGCCGAGTATAATAATCGACATTTCTTGAAAATTGTTCATGCCTTTTTATTTAAAGCCCAAATATGTAACGTGAGTTACGAGGCCGAACTAACCAAGTATAAAATAAATTATAATAAATTATAAAATTTAATATTTAATAAAATAAATATTAAAGTATAAATTTTTTAAAACAAGTACATAGATTTAAAAAAATAAAAATAAATAAAAGAATAAAAAACACCATTAACAATGTTTTGTGAGTGCCACCTGCTTTAGTTTATTGTTAAATATTAGACTCATGAAATGGAAACAATTTCTAATTCATGAATTTGGAAAACAAATTAACCTAAAAAGTTCCATAAAGATGTGATATATGTGTGCATATATTACTAATCTGATGAACACCATTAATTTATTCTAATTAAGATAAATTAACATCTAAAAAGAAGGCTAAACTAGACTCCAAAAACTCATGAAATGGAAACAGTACCTCGCATCAGAAAAATACTCCATGTTTCTCTTTTCCCCGCCTAAATTGCCAGTCCAGACCCTTTGAACTTTGCCTTTGTAATCTCATCAAGTCGCTTGATCATCGAAGGCGTCAGACAAGTCTTCGAATCTCCAACGTTACCTCGCCGGAAGAATGCATTGTTGTCCACCTTCGCTTTCGAGCCCAGATGAAATGTTCCAGCTTTATTCACCTCCAGATTGCTCAAATTCTCAAGACTACATAGCTTTATTATGTCTTTCACGACACCTTTACTTTTTTCATCCACCGAAAAGGGACATTCCATGAATCGTGCCAGCTTCTGCACGTAAAAAGTAGTATCCTTCTTCAGATCCTCATACTTGAGAAAAAATACATTATTCGGGCGTTCTAAACTTGCATTCCAGTACTCCGAATTGTACTCCCAAAAGGGCCCTGAGAGACAAACTCCTTTACAGAAAAGCTCAAACCCTTCTTCCAGAGGCAGGGGTGGCATGTTCCTTCCAGATCTTATTTTATTGACAAATTTCCACAAGGAGACCAAAACATCTTTCGAGTCCCGACAAATACACACAATCTTCGAACCTGAATTTATGATGGATATCGGCAATGAAGTGTAAGAGACATGTGTGCTAAGTAGCCTAGGTGAGGGAAGAGAATCTAGGTATGTCAATGGGTCATCTTCATGAGCTTGCAGCTCAAAATAGGGAACACACTTATGGGGGTTTGTAGTGAGTAAAGGGTGAGTTGAATCATTGAGGCAACGATCATTTCTCTTCTGGATGGAAAACACGAGAGCCTTTAACCATGTGGTGCCACACTTGGGAAATGAAGCCAAAATAACATCACTAGAGCGTGCCTGGAAGTTTTCCTGTGCCCAAAGAACTCCAACAGCCCAAACAGGATCATACCAAAAACCTTCAATCTTGTAATGCTCGTCCAACCATCCATCTTGATCCTTAGGAAGGGTTGAAATAATCTCTTCATATTTCTGGGACTGGCTTTTGATCTGTTGTTGTTGTTGTTGATCTTCTTCGTAGTGGTTAGTACTGTTTGAAGGTTTTTGAAGATTAGGAGAGTAAGACATCATGTACTTAAGGGTTCGATCGTAAACAACTTGCTTGAACTATGAAGCAAGATTAGTGTTCTATCTGCTAATTACTTGGAAAGGAAAATTGTTAAAAAAACAAGGAGCTAGCGAAGGGATATTAATGACTCGTAGATATATATCCAACCTTCTTCTTGGAATATTATTAGTGAATGAAGGAGATGGTATGGTCTTGCATTCCCTAGAAAGAATGCGAGAGAAATTCGCCAAGATCCTGAATCACCTCTACATTGTTTTACCCCTTTTTAAACAAATCGATCGGATCAACATTAACATATTTTGACCAGATTCAGTAGAGAGTGAAACTCAATGGAACTGAAACCGCACGTTCATATGTAAGTTCATTTTTCAAGATTTTTTTTTATCACAAAATATTAAACCTGCTTTGCCAAACAAGTTGATTCTGTCAACTTGTGACCCAAAATATAATCTAGAATGAGTTTTAATTTAAATCGATTTAAAATTTGACTTGACTAAAATTGGGTAATTGCTAGATATATTAACCTGTCACCTGGTCAAAATCCACCGAGTTAAAATCAATTATTTTTATTAAGAATTAAAACAACATTGTTTTGGATAAAAATAATAAAATTGGACAACAAGGGAATCCTATGACTCAATGGATTGAGACCTGGCCGGTCTCACAATTATATTTATGATTATGCCAACATGTATAAAGAAAGTTTAATGCAACATATATTAATCATTCAGTCATTGTGGGGGAACTTTTCTAGTGAGCAGTTGGCCTGGTTTTGCCGGTATTCACATAAAGATGATCATACTAAAGACATGGAGCAATGTTAGTAAAGGGATCCTCTCATGAGCCATGATTTTTCTGTTCTGAACTTGGTTTTCTTGCTGCAGTAATTAGTACTTAAAAGTGCATTTTTGTCATGGTTTTATATCATCATTTTGCACTTGAAGTATCAATAACTCCTTAACTAAAGCATGTTTTATAATAACATATCTAATAATATAAGATACCTTTAATTTATGGTAAATATTCATTTTAAA